ATAATTATAATTATAATTGTCTATGTTTTATATTGAAAACTCAATGTGACAAAGTGTTTTTCCCAATATGGTGCATTATGAAGTTGTACTCTCGTTTATGATTAATAAACAAAATAAAGTTATATTAAACAATCTGGGCTCACGACATAGAATACGGATTTATATTCATTGTATAATTTTAAACTTGTATTATATCCCCAAAATTACCATTCCAGAACCGAAAACGAGATTTCAACCGAACAGGCAGTGCCTGTGGACACCCTGCGTGACCCCCAGCACGACAACCAGCGCACACAAAACCCTAAGTGGCTGGTAGTTATTGGTGTATGCACCCATCTTGGATGCGTACCCGTTGCCAACGCTGGAGACTTCGGAGGCTACTACTGTCCCTGCCACGGATCCCACTACGACGCCTCTGGCCGCATCCGCAAGGGACCTGCCCCTCTTAACTTGGAAGTCCCCCCACACAGCTTCGTCGAAGACGGCCTGCTAGTTGTAGGTTAAACGACGTTATTTATTAGAAAATTTATTTATAATAAGTATACCGATTGAGAATCAATAGACGTCACCTTAACACAATAAATGTGATTACTGTTATTTGGTTTTTTATTTGTGTTTACTTCACGCATGGAAGTTTATTTTATTATAATTAAAAAAAATCACTTTAACACTGTAATAAGACTAATAGATGACAATGGCAATTAAGTTGAAAGTTCAAAAACAGTAGACAACATAGTCAACATAGATATAGAAGTGAAGTAACCTCGCCTGCTGGTGAGAGTCAAAATGGCGGGTGTACCATAGCGAATTGGTGGAAGGATATTGCTGTCAAAGAGACACATGCTATGGACTGATACTAATTTATTGTGTTCTATGGTTTTTAAGGGATCTTTTTTCAACGAGTATCTAAAACTAACTAAAAATATTTGAAAGCACTCTTTAAATAGGAAAAGCCGGCCATAATTTCCAAAAACCTTGCAACTCTGTAACTCATGTTAGCTAAGATCTACAATAGATAGAACCCTGAATATACCGAAACAGTCAAGCTCGGCTGTCTCGCGATATGAATGACTTGGATCCCACAACTAAATAATGTCCTCTCAAATCAAGCTAGTTTAAAAACGTAATAAAAACCACAATAACCTTGAAAAGAGACTGACTTCTGAGTTTGTTTCGGCATTTCTTCTCAGAGTAGTCAGATAGGAAATGCCGGCTTCATCTAGTTTTCCACATATAATTTGACGTGTAAAAGTGCCGTTTTATGGCCTATTTTCAAAAATAAAAACATTGTTTCAATAAAAGAAATTATCTCAACTTAACTGGGTACTTAATTCAGGGAACAATCATATCGTCTTGTTAATTCTAACTCGACTACGACATGAAAAGATTTTACCAAGTCCGATAATGGTTATTTCCCTCCTCCCCCTTTTAATAAGTACACTGTGTTACAGACTTGGATGGGCAGCATTCTGGACTTTTTCTTTCTTTTGATTGTATTTCACTTGTGGTTTTGTTATAACATTTAACACAGAATCACAAACAGCGGGTTAGTAAGCTGAAGTGGCAGAAGGCACATAGCTCGGGGATCATTGCCGGCCGCCTCGTCCAGCACATGACCAGGGTGGGGCCGGATTTGGCGGACAACCAATTTGGTTTCCGCCAGGGGCGCTCCACAGTGGATGCGATCATGCGCGTGAGGGTCCTGGCAGAGGAGGCAGTCGCCCGGGGTGAGGTGGTCTTGGCGGTGTCGCTCGACATCGCTAACGCTTTCAACACCTTGCCCTGGAGTACCATCCGAGAGGCACTCCGGTATCACGGGGTGCCGCGCTACCTCCAACGCATTGTCGGGGCCTATTTGTCGGACAGGTCGGTGGTGTACCCGGGACGAGAAGGATGGGGTCGGCGAGAGACGTCGTGCGGCGTTCCGCAGGGTTCGGTGTTGGGGCCGCTCTTGTGGAACGTTGGCTACGACTGGGCTCTGCGCGGTGCGCTTCTCCACGGCGTCGGCGTCATTTGTTACGCCGACGATACGCTAGTTACAGCGCGTGGGAAGTCGTACCGGCAGGCGTCCATACGCGCGACTGCTGGTGTCGCGCACGTCGTGGGTAGGATCCGGCGGCTGGGCCTAGAGGTGGCATTGCACAAATCGGAGGCCCTGTGTTTTCATGGGCCGAGGATGAAGCCGCCTCAGGGGTCCAGCATCATAGTAGGAGGGGTTTCCATCGCTGTTGAGTCCACGATGAAGTACCTCGGACTCGTTCTCGACAGTCGGTGGAATTTCGGGCCGCACTTTACACGGCTCGCCCCCCGGTTGATGGGCGCCGCTGCTGCTTTGTCGCGCTTGCTGCCCAACCAGGGGGGCCCATCTACTCCTCCCGGAGGCTCTACATGGGAGTCGTACGGTCGATGGCGTTATACGCCGCGCCAGTGTAGGCGGGAGCCCTGACGGCTCGCAACATCGCTGCGCTGCGAAGGCCACAGCGCGCGATGGCCGTCAGGATAATAAGGGGATACCGTACGATCTCCTTTGAGGCAGCGAGCCTCCTAGCCGGATCCCCGCCCTGGGACCTCGACGCAAAGCTCCTCGCGTCACTCTATTGGTGGCGTGCGGAGGCAGTCGAGCGGGGCGAGCGCCTGGTGCCTCGACATGTTGAGGCACGCAGGGCAGAACTCCGCCAGGCCTTAGTGGCGGAGTGGCAGACGCGTTTAGCGCAACCCACGGCGGGGCACGCCGCTATAAGCGGCGGTAAGGCCAATTCTACAGGAGTGGCTCAATAGGAGCCACGGCGCCCTCAGCTTCCGGCTGACGCAGGTGCTTACCGGACACGGGTGTTTCGGGAAGTACCTGTGTCGCATAGGCCGGGAGCCGACGTCTCAGTGCCACCATTGTGGTAATTGCCGCGACGATACGGCGCTGCATACGTTGGCGGAATGTCCAGCTTGGGCCGAGCAGCGCCGTGACCTGGTCGCGGCCGTAGGTGCTGCGGGAAATCTCTCGCTTCCGGCTGTAGTGTCTACTATGGTCGGGAGCGAGTCAGGGTGGAGTGCCGTCGCTATCTTTTGCGAGGCCGTGATGCTCGCAAAGGAGGCGGCGGAAAGGGAGAGAGAGGCTGCCTCCTCTCTTCCCTCCCGCAGCAGACGCACTAGACGTCATAGAGTGGCCGACCTGCGGCCACCGTAGGGCGCGGCCTGCGGACGACAGACTCGGGGCGTCTAGTCGTCCGACCAGCAGCAGGCCTCGAGGCGGCGGTGCCGTGTTCCGCGCGCGCCTCATAGTGGAGTCCTGCGGTCGGGGTGACGGCCGCAGTGGGTGACGGGGCCCGCCTTACCATCTGGCGGGCCAATACCCGACGGGGGGTTGCGACGAATGCTTCGGCGATACCCGCCCCTCCGACACATGGGTTATTGGAGGAACACCGGGTTGGTTTTTAGTCAGTAAGAGTCTGACAGTACCCTTCGCCCTTACCCCGAGGGCGGTAGGTCTCCATGAGGATTTTCCAAACCGACACCAAAAAAAAAAAAAAAAGGCACATAGCTCGGACAACCAATGGTGGCAGGAAGGTTTTTGAATGGCGACCACGAACCGGCAAGGGCAGCGCATGTCCACCCACAAGATGGAGCGACGACCTAATTAAACTAGATAATTGCATGAGAAGCGGGCGCCTTAACCTCCGGGCGGTGCGGGTTCGAAGTCTGCCAAGTGGGTGATTCTCCAAAAAACCTTAACTTTTATTTAACAAGTCATTATCCTCCCAGGTTTTTAAGCATCTTAGTCATTTATTTTATACAATATTTTTAATCAGTTGCTTGTAAGCAGTGGTGAGATTTAATTTAATAAAATAATTATCTGTGTTTTAATCAGCAGACTCGTTAATTTTCGGTTGAGGATAATGACATCATTAAATTTTTTTTATTGATGTGAAGAATCACCCTCTTGTACCAATATGACTTGAAATTCGGAGTTATATGTACTATCTATGATTATACCTACATATTATAGAGACCACTGACTTACGGCGAAGGGAAATATCTTGAGGAAACCTAGACTTATAATTTCTAATTATAAGTTTTAATGTGAAACCTACCAAGGTACCTATTTAAATAATTACTTTTCGCGTTAATATCCGCATAATTATCTATACTAATACTATAAAGAGGTAAAATTTGTAAGTTTGTATGTAGGGGGTAATCTTTGGAACCGCTGGTCGGATTGCCAAAATTCTTTCACTGATAGATAGCTTCAATGTTCTCGAGTGCTATAGGCTATAAAACATCACGCTACAATCAAATAGAGCCGAGCAGCGAGTGAAACCGCGCGGGAGTAGCTGTTATAAGTTTGAAATCGCCAAACCGCCTCGAGCAAGCGTGAGGACGTTTACCTATAGGAGAGGCCTATATTCAACAGAATCAGCAGTGGATGTCTTGTTGGTGATATGATGATGAATTCCTTGAATCAGTGACAAATATAAGAAGTAAGCAGCCTATTTGTTATTCACGACTAAAATAAATTTTTATGCCATATTTAAATCAGATCAGTTCAGTTGTTTTTACCTAAATAGTAACAAACATCCACCCGTAGATAAGTACCTACTTACAAATCTACGTTTATAAAATTAGGTAAGTAAGTACTTGGTAGGACTCTTTTTCTCTCTTTTGGTAGAACATAATTATTTTTATATTTTTTTTTTCAAAAGAATTTTGTCTTTCAGTATAATCTCTTGTGTCGTGGATTTACAAACAGGCGTTTACAAACATGCATATTGACACCCGAAACAACAATTTGAGAATCACACATTTTTACATATAGGAATCGAACCCGCGCCACGTTGGACAGCAGTCTGTTGCCCAGCCACTACGCCCGCCAACCGTGCAGTCTGATGTGAACATTGACGATAAAATATTCTTTATATTGTCCCACTTCTTCCAAGACTAGGTACCAAAATGTCAAAGGGACTTTTTTCGCTTGTGTCTAAAATAAGTGAGGTAAATAAAATCACAAATTCAACGATTTGTATTCATGTTTATTTAGGTATGGTTTTTGTTTTCATCATCGATTATTTCCACTTATATAAGTACTTAAGATTTTTAAACAGTTACAGTCTAAGTAACATCTAAAAGACTACTAAATTACACATTTACAAGTTACATTAACTGGGCTTCAATATACAATAAATATATTAAAATTTTTATATAGGTATTTTTTGAACGACAAAAACTTATTTTCTCACAAAGAATAAACGTATAAAGCCAAAAATGACAAAAGAAATACATATATATTAGGCCATTTACTATTACAATACATAAAAATAATTAGCTGTTTACATTAAACTTATAATAATTAACTAAATTAACGGAGGGAATGTAAGAGTTAGGGGAAAACCCAGTTTTTATATTATTAATTACGATGATTAATTACATTGAAAATAGTTCTACATATTTATTTTGAACCGCTACAGTATAGTTTAAATCTAACATCTATAATATTTACAAAGGAGTACAAGATTTGGGAATAATCCGCGAAATAATTTAGCTAATTCTAAATTAATTTAAAGCCAATTCTGACATTGTGGCGATAGTAAACTCGGTTATGTTGTTACGTTACACTTTGAAACTCGCGTACTCGGATACTGAATAGTGTATGCAGGTCTTAGAATACATGAATATTGGTCTTTATGGTACGCAAATGTCAAAATTGCTAGCAATTATTCTTTATTTGCTGTTTTTTATTCATATCCGAACTACTACCGCCGCATTAAAGATCTCGACTTGTATATGAATGGAATAACCAACATGTTCACAATCATACATCACATACAAACAATCAGACTTATTAAGCTGGTTGCATACTGTCGACTGAACTGTCAAACGTAATATGAATTACTGAAGAACTGAAAAAATAAATTCTTTATAAAAAATATACCTATATAAAGCCTTCATAAAAACAGTTTTATCAAAAGCACGCAACCTATTTTATAAGAAAATTAAAATATTTCAGTTTGTTTTTTTGTTGTTTTCTGTATTTTAAATAAACCAAAAACTTAGTGAAAAGAAAAATAGAAAACTTAAAACAAAATACGGTCTTGATCTGTACTCATAGGTAGGCACGTAGGATTTCACAATTTCGTGACATGCTTGCGATTACACACATGCAATAACTAGTCACTGATAAAATTATTCATCTCGATGGGTATGGCACAGGGAACTTAAACTTATTGAAAACACAATTACTCTGAATGTCACACATAGCAATTAATTAAAATGCAATTAAATTTCATGTCGGATCTTGACAAATATTTAAGTAAGATCAATGTCTAAAAATATTAAGTTTACAACAAATATTTAATAAATTAATTTTATGTAAACATATTTACTGATTTATGTTTACTGGGGGACGTTAATGTCACAAACTTCATAATAAATGAAATTAGCGTGTGAATCCAACTTGAATATTGACACTTGGGGCCAGGAAACTATTGTGTACGCCAATTCGACGTTTTATGCTTCAAAATGTATCAAACATTTTTATTTTATTTAAACACAGATTCTACGAGATTTCATAACATTTTACAATATATTTCTGTTTTATACAACAATATTCATAGTACCTACATATTTCTCAATATATTTTTGAACACACACATATTTTTAATTCACATCGAAATTGTAGACATAGTAAAACATTCTATCATTTGGGAAAAATATAAATATATCTATTAGGTACACATATTATTATTAAGTGACAAAATATTATTTAGTAAATTTCTGGAATATAACATTATTTTTATTCAATATACTATGTATGGTATCTCTGATAATGAAGATAAACATTTGAATAATTTAATGACTTTGTGCGACTAACAAAAAAATAAATAAAAATAGTGGTAGTAACGTCTGTCAAAGGTCATAGAGTATTGTCAAAGTTCATTTTGTGTAAACAAAATGTATGGTCCACGTACGAAACACAACATAGACACTACACAACCTTGGAAGCTCGATTCAAACCGTTAGAGACGACCTCTATATATTTACTAGAAATGCCAATATTGACTGATTCCTGATGACACATTATATTCTATTAATAAAATATTAATTAAAAATGTCATTGAGTATTTACACGATGAAAATTAACTTTAATATATCGAAGGATATAAGATGTTTGAGTAGATATAGAATAAAGAAATAATATATTTTCAAATATATAATTATGTAGGTATTGAATATATCTAATAATTTCATCTAAGAATGATCAACAATCCTGATTTCGTACTGAAAAATAACAATATGGGAAAATTTAATACAGAGATATATTAGCTAGGTAAATAGATATTTGATTGATAAAATAAAAATTGACTCGGTGCTTACTGTTGTAAGATTCGTGGTTGGTGGTCTATTAACTACAGGATGATTTAATTGCTACAAGTATTAGTGAGGTACTGAATAAATTAACATAGTTTAGGTGTATGGGAATATTAAAGTACGTGGTTACAATTATTGTAGGTGAGCTTGAAGGTGTTTGACGACCATCCTATCTATGTTGCGTCGCAGTAGAAACACGTTGATGTATCCCACTGGCACCAGCGAGTCGGTGGTACGCGACCGATGTATGGTGAACGCGCTAACATCCATCTGACTTGATCACTGTGTCGCTAACAAGTGGCCGGTAAAGTTTTGAGTGCACTAGTATACGGATTCACTTCAAACCGATTATGTACGTTGTTTTAAAGGTTCAGTAGAATCGATTGTGTGATAAAGTTTTAGCAGTAAGTACACAAATTTTGGTACATTGTGAAGGAAGATGCACTCGGGGCCAGCCGTCGTCTGTTTGTAGCAGGTCACAGTATGGCGGAGTACCGCTGGCGTGTATGGCGCGCGCACTAACAGTCGGCCGTGTAGACGGGCGCCAGGTCCAGCGTCAGGTGGCGCAGCGCTCGGTCGCGGGACGCGGAGCGCGACGCGCGCGACGACTTGATGATCTGCAGGACCATCGCCTTGCAGTCGTGGCACACTGCCATCTGCACGCCGCGGAGACGTTCCGCCGCCGTCACGCCAGTCGTGCTGCGGCCGTACCTCGCTCTGAAATTATAAGATGCATTTGTAAATGAGACTGAAAACAGTTGCTGAGGGTGAGTGGATAAAAGAGTAAAGTGAGTCTATTGGGAGAAATAGTAGAGAGAATGACTGCAATAACGAAGATGATAGCGTGCCGATGCGGGCAAGTGATATGAAGATTGGTGAGTAACTATGAATGGGGGAGGTTGCGGCTGGAAATATGAGAAAGAGAAGTTGATAGTGCAGAAAGGCTTAGATTCAGCATGAACGTGGAAGGGTAGTTGAATGTGGGTGGAACGTGGGGAGGCCCACATCAAGTAGGGATCTATCTTACCTGCGGTCTAGGGTAGAAGGTGGTGTGTTGACGAGCGACATGGCCTGCGGGCCGTCGACGCTGCGCGACATGGCGTGCGGCGGCACGGACAGCTGGTCGGAGAAGCCGAGCGCGGAGCCGCCGCGCGAGCCGGGCGCGCTGTGTGCCGCCGCGCCCGCGCCGCCCCCGCCCGCGCCCGCGCACGTCGCGCGCCGCGTGCTCGCCGGGCTGCTGGGCGCGCTGCCCACGCTGTTCTCTACCATGCTCTGGAAAACAAAAGGTAAATTACTACTAAGACTTTGAAAAGTGATTTTATCGTAGTACTACGTAGACGTTATCTCAATATTTTTGTGGCATAAGGCGGATAATCAGCAAAACTCCAGTGTAACTCCAGTGGTGTTACAAGTGCATTACCACCCTTTACGGAGGTCTTTACGGATTTGAGAATCAGTGGCATCGGAGTTGAGGACGAGGATTTAAAGAACTGAGCCTCCGCTAACACATTCACACAACGAAATACAAAACCAGCTTTGATTTACCCCGGTCTTCTGTAAGATTTGTATAGACTCCAATCGTGTCAAAGAAACGAACGCTCTCCAAAATTTAGGGATTCAGGGAATAATTATCTGTGAAAATACCTAGACAATAGTTATGATATAACTAGACATTATTTACAGTGATACCATTACATAAACGAACAACAGAAGATCATAAACACAGCTAACTATATTATAACGGAAGACGTGCATCATATCGTAATAAAACTGGATGATTGACAATGATCGCGTATTGACGGCTCTGTGGCTACAATTTGCGGTACACCACGCATTACTACTCATCGCAGATCGAGTTACGGGAAACGTAATTTACGAGGTTATTGTGTCGGACGATAATAGGTGTAACTACCTCATCTTCTTGTTGGAACTTGATGGAATAGGAGTTTCTTTCAACATACCTTTACATTCAGTGGGTATATTGGCGAAGATTTTTGTATACTCATAGTTAAATAATCAATAATATAGGTAATATTCTTCCGTAGTCGGATAGGAGAGCCATGTGTCATGAATCGACCGCAGTGATGGTATAACATCACAAAAAACCGGCGTGGAACGAAGGTTGCGTTATATAAGTGAAGTTTCGTCATGTACCTAAGTGTTACTGGACGCCCAATCCTGTACGTACCCCTACTTTATATCACCAATTCCTGAATCCCACAACGTAAAATCATTAACCTCAAAAGGCCAGCAACGCTATGCAACTCCTATGGGTAGTCCAGTAGGCAGTGTGGATTGCTTACTTAGTTAGGTTATTGAGATAAAAAAGTAAAAGTATTGAATGGTGAACACTCCTTTGTAAGGTATCATCCATATTACAAACCAATCACAACAAACAAAAACAATTACGCAAACATCTATAGTTATAAAGAAAAACCACAAGCTTACGTACCGAATACTCAGGAGACACGAGCCTGGACATGAGACTCCTGGGAAACGAGGAGTGCGCCTCATCCTCCGGGGAGGGCAGGAGCGACGGACTCAGCAGCACCACTGGTACGTGAGCGAAGTGCTCCGTCGGGATACGCATCTAAAATAAACAGTTAAATCCATCGATCAATATCTCAACTGTGCTGGTATAGATCATTATACATATTAAAATTAATGATGTGTGTAAAAACCACAGCTTGGATTCTGAGCTGATCTTAGCTTGGAGCTGGGTAGTTTGTGAGCCGAAGGCTATCTACTACTTAGGTATCGTGTGATCAGAAACTTGTTTAATAAATATTATTGTTCTGTAATATTACTGTTTGTTCAAGTGTATTATTAATAGTTTCGATACTTTAACTCAGAATACAGAACAAACCAGAAGGCGTCATCGCGCTTCAAACTAAAGCAACTAAAACCATTCTCAACTAGAATAGTATGAAATTTCTACGATTAGTCAATTTTGGCACGTGGCATGTCGTGACGTATTTACGAGTATCAATTTTAATTTCATTATGCCGTCTTGTGTTATTACTACGAGTAAAAATGCGACTGGAATTACGAAAAAAGTGGATAAGATTACATTTCATCTGCAAGCATCGACTGCAATAGTATATTTAATTAATTATTGAATTTTTTTTATCGATTTATTTTTCTATGAAAATGATGCGGCCATTTTGTGAGTGTTGTCATTTTTGGTGAAAATTTTACCCACTTATTTATTTGTTGTGGGTTATATTTTGTCCAATAGGGGCCTATGTCATATTAGTTTCCCTGACAAAAAAATAAATACAAATCATACAAAGGGCACGGTTAGATTAATTTTGGAAACCATCTAGCCAGAGCATAGTTTGCTCAATTCACTTTGAAGAGATAGATTTATGACAAAGGTGGTTTGAAAACAGCATATCCTACTAAGATATATCTTTACTAATTATAATGCTGAAGAGTTTGTTTGTTTGTTTGCTAGAATGCGCTAATCTCAGGAACTAAGTAAAGTAAGTAGACTTCTAATCTTTAGTTCCGAGTCTAAAGACAATACATATAAAAAACTAAACCAGCAAAAGGGAACGCAATAAAACCTTTGTACTTATTGAAGCTTTATTTTATTTGTTGTGTATAGTAGGTGTAACTAAAATTAACAAATCCAGAAATCGTCAACTTTTATGATACCTCTATGAAATGTGTGAACAACTAGTCTGTTGCATTTATCGTAAGTTTACCTATTTTGTTGGGTTTACTCGTATCTTACCCTCCTGTTGTAAAATTACCCCAAACCAAGGGAATTGTTCCACTGTCGGCAACACTACGCGGGTGGGAAGTGCGGCTGGCGGGGGGATTGACGTATTGTTTTTGGACACATTTGACGACATGTAATTATGAGTGAACGCGGCTTCTGGTTTGTTCTGTATTCTGAGTACTTTAAGTACTCCGTAAAATATTGACACTTTTGACAGGACCTCTATTGGGAATAGAAACTAATGTAGGTATCTAAGTAAGAAGTTTTATTTTCTAAACTTACCTTCGAACAACACTTTTGACAGACAGTCTTTTTACAAAGTTTGCATTTCTGGCCCCAAGGACCAAAAATTCCGAATCTGGTCTTCAAACACAAGAAGCATACCTGGAGAAAAAAAAGAAATAGGTTAAAAAAGGACCATTAGAATTGAAAAAAAAAAATCAGTAAAAGGGGAATGTGAAACTCCCTTGACGGCAAAAATTATAGGAAGAAAGAGATACATAATAAAACTTTAATAATCAAGGGGACTTACTCTTCTTTTTTCAACGTCTTCCTTGACCCTGCCTTCAACGGGCAGTACTTCTAGTTCAGCCTTCGTCAGCACAGACCTGATGTGAACAATCTCTTCCAGGGTCAGAGACAACCGGTCGTCAGACATTATGGCATCTTGCCACTGTTTCTGTAAAACGAATAACCAGTTTAAGTTGATACCTTGGCTTGTAGAAGATTTCTTTAATAAAGAAAAAAACTTACAAACAGATCCAAATTGTAAAAAGTGCCTATAACTACCATTTCAAATTAATCGAAGTAGTAAACATCATCTTCACCTAAGTACTCTACTTGTCTAAACTAGTCCTACTTGTAACACTAAAAAACCATGCATGAAATAGCTAATTTTGTGCTATTTACCAAATTCCTCTAATTTTAAGTTACAGTGCATACATGATGTGCAGTGAAATAGCATTGACTAGAATCTACACCTACATACTAAACTTTATAGCACACTTGAGAACTAAAAAAACTATTTGGTCCCAATTAAATATTTTTATGGTGATTTGTGTTAACTACTAAAACGAAGTATCGCGGTGCGTGCAAAAGTGCTAATTGATCTACAATCTGTCGAATCTTTCAATTTTTTTATTCTGAACAAACCCATTCATGTCCTTAAGGTCGAAATTCGTCCACCACCGTCTAAACTACATTCTACTCACATGCGAGCCATTGTTGGGGCTGCCACTAACCGACTTGATGAGCTCGTCCTGCAAACTAGATCGCGACCAGGATAACTCCCCGAGCTGTGCGTCCGCGTCACTGCTCGCCAGGGACGCTGCGCCGGCGCATGATGCACGAGATCCCGGCCTGTGACAAAAAAGTTGTGATATGGAAACATGGTCCCACACTTGAGATTTAAAAAAAAATTAAATAGATCTGTTTTAGAATACATTCAAATTGATCCAATATGCATTTGATTTATTAAGTGTAGTGTATTGAGACTATGTTAACGGTTCTATGAATGCAAATTAAAATGAACAATGTCAATGGTTATAGAATTTAAAAATAATAAAGCTTTAAAACCACATTTTCATATCCTAAACCCAGACACACGTATCTTGACCTCTTGACCAACGACCTGAAGTAGAAACTTTCTAAGACAGTAAAAAGTTTTTTGTGAAAATAGACAATATCTAAATTCTGTATCTAACAATTTTATACTATCGTAACATAAGATATATTGAATTTTTCTTGTGTATTTAAAAACATACACTTTAAATCCGCCAAGGACCATGTTTCAAAGAAAAATGAACTTAAAAGGTCTAGGGAAAAGTATATTTTAAAGACTAACCTTGAATGCGGCAATGAGTGAGCTCCATCAATGGTGGTAGGGCAGACAGTGTGCGTGACGGTATGACGTCGCATTGACGCTCGCCGTGACGGGCACTGCGTTGCCAGGTCATATGCTGCGGATAAAAGCACCAATGTAATTTGATCCTTAACAATAATAAATATTGGACGTTACATCCTTAAAAGTGTCAAAGAGATAGGGGTTGTTTTACTGTACATACAGTACACGTTGACTTGAAAATTTGAATATTGAGGACGAGAATAAAAATATTTAATAAATTATATGCTTTTATTGAATATCTAATTCAAAGCTAACATTGATCTTATAAACATAATTGAATATGTTAAGTAAATAAAATAAAAATCAGCTAACATCAGGGAGTCGAATAAATATTTACATTACATTGATATAAAATAACATTAAATAATTATAAAAAGTGGTTACAAAATTAGTTTCAAACGTGTAGAAAAAGTGATAAATCCTGCAAAACAGTGAATTTAGTCAAGTTACGATGACAGAGTTACGTGATCTACTTAGATCTATCCTAAGTCCTAAATGAGACTAATTTGGTACAATCAACATCGAATCACTAATGAAACAACTAACACTGATTTACAAAAACGTTAATGACAACAGTAAAACATGTGCTTATGAGCAAGTAAAACAAAAGGGCACTTAAAGTTTTAAAAGACGAAAATGGACGACAGATAATCGCAGTATTCGATTTGTTATTGTCCGCAGAACCACTGAACTGAAAAGACAATGACATGTGATTTTGCGAAGCAAGAGAATAATTTGCAAAGAAAATAAGCGTGGTTACGTTGACATGCGTTCAACTCATGCTGTCATACATTCGAGGGTCTGGTCGCAGAACTGGTGGTACTCGTCGTGGGAGATGCGGGTGCGCGGCGGCGCCCGTGGAGGCTCCTCTGCGTGACGTCACCAATTCATCAAATCAAAATCATTTCCAAGGTGTGCATACAAAAACGAGTGCTTGAGCCGATTCAGAACTCATTTAATGCAATTTTTGGGACTCAAGTTGGCACACTGACAGTTTAAAAATGGTCATTATTTCTTTTAAGTTACAAGTGAATTTTGCTTACCGGTCCTCTTCCAAGGTTTGGGGGTTTGTTGCTGTGGGGCTGTGTGCCTTGGGAAAGGTTGTGGTGCGCATACTTCAGGGCTTGTGCAAGTTTCTGTGTCATCCTCATCTTCATCGTCCTGAGAAGAACATTGGAGGTTAATTTATATAAATTGGTACCTATATTGGGAAAACTTAATAATGAATATTAGATTTTTTTTATGTTAACAAAAAAGTATGTACCTAAGTATATGCTCAATTCATTATTACTATGACTATCAAAACAATTGTAAGTAATAATTATAGGAATATCATCTATAGAAAATGACACAGTTTTTACAAAAGAACACAAGAGTAACATTTTTGGCTTCCACTGACGCGTACCCTAATTGGTTTTAAACAAACTACTTCTGAAGAAAACAAGATTTGTAACATACCAACAAGATTATTTAAATTGAGTCAAGTACCTACATACCTAATTATGTAGAAAAACAACAGCGTAAAGTTTATGCAAAATAAACAACAAGTACCTAGGTAAAACTAGTTTGATAATTTTAAATCACGGAATTAAAAACGTAGAACCAAGTGTTTTCGCGAAACTTCTTCAATCAGTTGTTTTTCATACCTAAATATTACACTTGTAAAAACGTTACATTCTTATATTTCTTCTAGCTTTTGCCAGCGGCTTCGCTCGCAGTACCTATATCTAGATATGTAATATTCCAGAGCTTAATCTAATACATATAATCTATGTATGTATGTCTGTGCCAAATTTCACGCAAATCCGTTCAGTAGTTTTACGTTAAAGAGAGTTCTACCCATTCTTACAAACTTTCGTGTTTATAATATCACTATGATTCCTTTTTAAATATGACAAGCTCATAATTTACTAATTTTGTTACCAAATATCGAACACTATAGATTTGAATCAACACTACGATTGCCTATTGTCTAGACATCATTATTTAAGTTTGTAGTCTAGGCAATTTTCCATGTAGAAAATAATATTCAACACATGAATAATGGAGCCAAAATGAGAAATAGGCAATGGAGTCTTTGTATGATTGTTACAATTTATATACTGTACTATGATACTTTATTACAGTAAGAAATCTATGAATAGTTTTACCCTCAATTGACCTTATGGAATATCTTACGAGCTTCAGTAGCAATTCTCTTTCAATTGCGTATTTTGCTATTCAAGCACTTTGTTCAATAATAAATCAGGTGTTTGAGCCCTCAAGAGGAAAGATTTTAGGGTTAAATATTTATAGGAGTTTCTATTCAAAGGTACCTAACTCAAAATTTTGAAGCCTATGTTCATGTACTAAAGAAGCTTTCAAGTTTATTTTCTATCATTTTCAAATAGCAATACGGTATAAAACACAAGGTTGACAATGCTTTGCACTATTGTAAATGGTTATTCAAGTCGAAAAAAGCTGACAAAATGAAACAGTTCATAGGTGCTAATAAATAACAGCTTTTTCCCGAACTGATGGATGAACGGACCCCCGATCCAAGCATACCCTGGAGCCTTCTTACTCTAATCAATGTGGAAGACGTTATGTTAACAGGATAAGGGTGGAAACGGCACCATTTATCGTCAACTTGATAACGGTGCGAATGACACCATAATGGCATTCTGCCGCCCATGGGCATCAAACAAAACCCCCTCTGATTTTTTCTTAAACTGCAACTTTATTGGGATAAGGATAGGGACAAAGGATAGGATTATTAGGAGTTTGCTTAACGTTCATTATGAATTTAATCCGATCGAGATCCAATAATAGTTTTTTCATTAGATCATTTCAAAGAAAAAATACGATATCTGTAAACTTCCGAAGGGTATGTATCCTATCAATATAGAAAATAACATCACTTCATACGATAACGATTATAACCTGATTCTTATAAAAGCAAGTTTGCGCTTTTCTGGATAATCTCATTTATCGCCCTAGTCGATTTAGAAACAACATACAACAAAGTTTACCTCGTAGCAGAAAAACAACACATGTAAGTCCAAAGTAATCCGAGCCAAGTATCAAATAGCGACAATATGATACTTCTCACGTATTTTATGAACCTCGTGAATAGATTCTTGTTGCAAATAAAAGGGAAGTCACACGACAATCCCCGTAAGGTAATACTATAAACCCATCATTATCAACGCTAAGCAAATGCTTCTGATCAGAGAAGGTTTGAGCATTAATCATCACGCTCGTTCTAGGCCGGGTGGCGATTTCCAACTTATAATTAGAAATTACGTCAAGTCAATTAAGTAAAGGTCTCTTAATGATGTTTTCCTTCACCGTATTTACAATATAGGAAGGGTACTTTTAGTAATTTTTAGGTTTGAAATCCGCGTCCTCATGCTTGATAAGTTTTAAGACCGATACACTACAACAGAAATCAAGACGAAATCAAGTTTGTTTATTTTCTCTGCAACCTTTATCTACTCAACTAATATTCTTGCATACATATAGGTTCAATAGTTTGAATAATAGTAAGCCCGGGGAAGGATATAGTCTAATTTATGTGAGATAAATATCTACTAGTATATCATAACAATACAGAATACCTTCACTTAAAGAAGAAAGTGGAAAAATGTCAGAGATCATGCACCGATGCATCTGATCGTTGTGTAACGAAAGTATCGTAACAGGTACGGAACCTGTTATTTCGTATGTCCTCGTACTTTTGTACTGAGAACTATATTATACTCGAAGGGAAAGTTATTGCACGTCGGAACTTGGAACTGCGATGAGCTGCATTGTGCTTGTAAACTTTGTATTGTACTTCGTATTGTTAACACAATAGTAGATGCAGTTTTGATTTTATTTTTTTGTGAATACTTGATAGTAAGCAATCAGCGCTGCCCAGGGACACCTGTGACAACGGAGGAGTTACGAGTGCGTTGCCGACCTTTTGGGGATAAGGGATTGGAAGTTTTTGGATTGGAGAAGAATCGGGGGAAAAAATTGGGTCTCCGGTAACCTCACTCATATGGCGAAACACAACGCTGTGATTGTTTTACAGCGGTTTTCTGTGGGACCGTGGTCTCACTCCGGCCTTAAACTTATTTATACATTTCAGACACTTTATTTGATTAGCAAGCAAAAGGCATATCTGGTGGAAGATTATTGAATTATATCAATTTCTTTGATATATCGTGGCAAAAATAAAGAAGAATAATGTAATACCAGTCACAAAACCAAAGGGCAAAGGTAAGACAGGTGACTCCCTTCAAAAACAAAGGCTAACATTGTAGTAATCTTTCGAAGGGACCCTTCATTTTCATAAATAATGTATCTACGTAACTCAACCGCTCCATATTGTAGAGAAAAAAACTCATTCCACAAGAATAACGATGTTAAAAATAACCCTACTCCCATTACGAGAAAAAAAGGGGTTTTTTTTTTGTGAGGGGAAAATCATCAAATGACTTCTCCCGCCCAGGGCCGGGCAGGAGGGAGTGTCAGACTCTTACTGACTAAAAACCCCCCTGTTCCTTCTCCTGCTCTGTGCCGAGGTCGCGGTACCTCATTGCGCTTACCCCGCAACCCCGGCTGAACATCAGCCCTTTAGGGCCCCGTCTGTGGTGGTCGAATGGCTCTTTGAGGCGCGCGCGGAACGCTACGCGCCGTACGCTCGGGCCTGGTTCTGGTCGGGCGGCGAGCTGCCCTTACTCGCCGACCGCAGGCCCGTACTTACGGTGGCCGGAGATCGTCCCTCGATCCCCGACGCCCGTAGTGTCGCCAGTTGCGGCTGCTGGGGCGTGAGGAGGAGGATTGCTCCCTCACGCGGGCCGCCTCTCTCTTTGCGAGCATGACTGCTTCACAAAAGGAGGAGACGGCGTCCCAGTTCCTCTCACTCCGCACCATGGCCTCGACTAAGGCCGGGCGCGAGAGGTCGCCGCCGCCGATCACTTCCCTGAGGATACGGCGGTGCTCAGCCCAGGCAGGGCATACCGCTACCGTATGTTCCACCGTATCCTCTAGGTGGTCCTCACAATGACGACACTCGGGCGTTTCCTCCCGCTGAATCCGAAACAGGAACCTACCGAAGCTGCCGTGCCCGGTAAGCACCTGCGTCAGACGGAAGGTGAGGACGCCGTGGCGTCTCTCAAGCCACTCCTCAAAGAGGGGTCTTACCGCTGCTATGGTAGCGTGCCCGAACGAGAAAAAAAGGGTAAGGTCAGATCTGTAAAGTAATCTTTGTTACCCTTGATATTCAAATAGATTAATAGACCAATGAAGGGGTAAAATTAGATTCCATTTTTTTTCTTGCATATTAATTATCATTTTGATTTTGGAAATTTTTAAGAGTACTTGTGGTGTTACCTGTATTTTGGTTCTTTTTTATAGGAGAGCAGGCTGATATATATAAATACACGTAGATAACCTGATGATAAGCAATCAGCGCCGACCCTGGATATCCGCAACACCAGAGTGGTTGTAAGTTCGTTGCGGCCCTTTAGGAATTAGGTAGGTATTGGGGAAATTGGGATTGGGGATTTGGAGTAGGCCTCCTAGACCTTTATAGCAGTTATTTGCTGCTTAGTTTTCGCGAATCCTTGGTATCACTCCGATTGAGCCGGCACCAAACTGGCTTGACGTAGTTTTAAAACTTACTCAAGTTAGAATAAAGTAACATATACAAATTATGAATCTAGGTTTTTCATAAACCTATGTGGTAATATTAGTTTTACTTGGGAGCGGCCTATTTCAACATACACTCATGTTAATTACAACCCTCAAGCTAATTGGCGACCTCTAGACAATCAAATTAGTCACATATTTGTATGTCGCATGATATACAAGCAAGCCTCCTGCCACTGTAGGTATACATAGATCCAATTTAAGGGCGGGTAGGCCAAGCGAAATAGGTATTTAACGCTACCAAGAGTTGCCCGCGTTTGCCGTAAAGCGACCCGTGCGCTAACGTCGCGGGGAGTGTCACATTACAGATAAGCAGGCAGTAGGTCAACTTGTTTGACGTCCACTTGCACAAACCCGAGTTATCCTTTCAACTCAAAAATAAAACATTTAATTAATTAAAAACTCGTTTTATAACCGACTTCAAAAAAAGGAGGAGGTACTATGTTCGGCTGATTGTTTTTTTTTTGTATGTTCACCGATTA